TACCACTACACACCTACTGAAATGGACAAAATCCAGAACACTGACAACACCAAATGCTGGTAAGGATGTGAAGCAGCAGTAGCTCTCATTTATTGCTGATGGAAATGCAAAATGGTACAGCCACTTTGAAAGACAGTTTGGCGGTTTCTTACAAGAGTAAACATACTCTTACCATGAAATCCAGCAATCATGCTCCTTGGTATTTACCCAAAAGAGGTGAAAACTTATGTCCACACAAAAACCCGCACATGGATGTTTATATCACCTTTACACATAACTGCCAAAACTTTGAAGCAACTAAGATGTCCTTTAGTAGGTGAATAAATAAACTGTGGTACATCCAGACCATGGAACATTATTTGGCGCTAAAAAGAAATAAGCTACCAAGCTATGAAAAGATCTGGAGGAAACTTAAATGCATATTACTGAGTGAAAGAAGCCAATCTGAAAAAGCTATATACTATATGATTCCAAGTATATGACATTCTGGAACAGGCAAAACTATAGAGACAGTAAGAAGATCAGTGGTTGCCAGGAGGCAGGGGGGAGGGAGAGAATTTTTAGGGCAGTGAAATTACTCTATACTATATACTTTATATATTATTATATAAAGATAGATATATGCCATTATAAATTTACCCAAACTCACTGAACATACAACACCAAGAGTGAAACCTAATGTAAACTCTGAGTGATAATGATGTGTTAATATACGTTCATCAATTGTAACAAATGTACCACTCTGCTGGGGGATATTGATAATGGGTGAGGCTATGCAAGCATGCAGGCAAGAGGTATATGAGAAATCTCTACCTTCTGCTCAATTTTGCCGTGAACCTAAAACTGCTCTAAAAAATAAAGTCCATTAAAAAAAATTCACTAGAGGGGCTCAATGGCAGATTACAGCAGGTAACAGAAAGAGTTAGTAAACTTGAAGATAAGGTAATTGAAATTATCCAATCTGATTAGCAGAAAGGAAAAAGAATGAAGAAAATGAACAAGATCTGAGCAACCTGTGGCAAACCATCAAGCATACCAACATATGCATTACGGAAGTCCCAGAAGAAGATGACAAAAAAATGGACAGAAAAAACATTTGAAAAAATAGTGGCCAAAATCTTTCCAAATTTGATGAAAGACATGAATCTATACATCTAATAAACTCAATAAATCTAAAGCAGGATAAACTCGAAAGATCCATGCTAAGCCATATTGTAGTAAAACTGTCAAAAGCCACAGGCAAAGACAAAACCTTAAAAGCAGAAAGGGAAGGAGCAAGTCATCATTTACAAGGAATCTTCAATAAGACTAACACCCGATTTCTTACCTGTCAACCAAGAATTCTATATTTGGTGGAAAAAATCCTTTAAGAATGAAGACATTTCAAAATAAACAAAAGCTAATGGAGTTTGTTACTTGTATACCTACCATACAAGAAATGCTAAAGGAAGTCCTTCATACTAAACTAAAATGAAACTAGATGGTGACTTGAAGCCACACAAAGAAATAAAGAACACTGGGGTAAAAGTTACTACACGGGTAAATGTAAAAGCTAGTATCATTGTACTTTTGGTTTACAACTCCTTTTTTCCTATATTATTTAAAAAGCAAATGCATAAAACAGTAATTATAAATCTGTGACAACAACAATATGCACGGGGATGGACAGAAATACATAAGAACATGCTATATACTGTGCATTAAAAAATAAATAAATAAATAAAGAGATGTATAGGAACAGAGTTTTTGTATACCATTGAAACTAAAAAGTTGGTATTATTCAAACTAGATTGTTATAACTTTAAGATGTTCACTGTAATTCCAAAACAACCACTAAGAAAATAACTTTAAAAATATACAGAAAAGAGGCCGGGCGCAGTGGTTCAC